TTTTTGGCCGCCAACGATTTTCTAATATTTCCCACTTATTGGTTATGTAAGCAGAAATATTTTTTTCAAAATAGCTCTCGTTAGGTGGCGCCAGGGTCGAGATACATATTTTGAAAAACCGTATTTATCATCTTTATCTTATCTTAAACATTTCCAATATTTCCACAAAAGCTTTTATACAATAGTTTTGCAATTTCGTAACTTCTGTTTTAGGTAACGTCACTCCAGCGCATAAGTTTACTAATATCATTAAATCGCTACCACCAACAGTGTAATCTTTTTACTGAATAAGGGGCTATTTAATTGCCAGGCAAATTTAGAAAAAACCTTTTTAATATTTTGATTTTTTCAATCCTTTTTTTTTACATTTTTTCATACGAGCGTCACATAACGCCAGTTTGGAAATACCCATTGTATACATGTACATAAATAATCGTTTCAGAGCTCGCACAAAAATTAATCAAACTTAAAAAACATTTCAACAAAACTTCAAACTTTTTAATCAGAGTTTTTACAAGGTATGCAGTTTTGCAGGTCATTCAATTTCAATAAAGCTCAGGTTCTAAGTCGCTTAAAATTACTTTAATTTTTTAGATTTTTTTGTGTTGAATTTAACGTTACTCTGCAAGGGAAATCAAAAAAGTTCACTGACTTATCAAACTGCCCTCGTATTTACATGCGTTGAACTGTCCCCATCTAAACCGTCTATAACTTAAATTTTTTGTTTTTCATTTTTTTTTTCGTCGCCCACAAGCAAAAACAAAAACAAATATTGTGCAATGCAAATTGGCTTCAATTAAAGTCACGTTGAACATTGTGTATCCACAATCCGCTCCAACAAAAAACATTCCTTATGCGCCATAACTTTTTTACGACCGCTGTCTGCTTCACTTAAAAAACAATAAAAAACAATGTAAAAAAAAAAAAATGCACAAAAACAAAGTTGAGGAGCAAATGGAACAAAATTTGAAATTTTAATTGAGTAATGTTTTAATTCAAATCGAAAACACGTTTGCAAAATCTCTGCATCTAATTAGAATGAAAATCGCAGAATTCGCGCATTGCTGCTGTAAACATTTTCCAAAATTGACCTCGTCACCGCAACGCAATTACTTTCTATTTCTACGTAAATTTGTTTGTTCGCAACAGCCTCGTGCTCTTTTCACGCAAGCAAGCGCGAGTTATGAGTCCTTGTTAGGAATTAAAAGTACACAAGAGATTATTTC